AAGCGTAGGACAAATGATCCTTGTTCATCATCGTTGCCCCTTTGCCTATCTTCGACTTTTGCTTAGCATCAAGCGGACAAACATCTCACAAGATTCAAGCTAGAATAATGACAGGAAGACAAACAATTCCTACAGGTCTTAAAGAACATTTCCACGTCCAGAGGAGCACAAGCAACTCGTCATGATTCCATGTTCACTCACTCCATTGTCTCGGACTCTTAACACCACCTAATCCTCTCTCCGCTTGCAACCAAACCTGGAAGAAGAAATGTTATGATCAGAAGGCCATTGGATACTGCCATTCTCATTCCTTGCGTCTGCAAGAGTAGTCCAAAGTGTGGATTACACTTAGCCTCGCGTATGCATTGACTTTGTGATTAGATTCCGTCCGTCCACTGCAAGCTCGCGCAAAGCTTTGATGAGATTTAGTAGACTGCTCCTCTATTATCACAGTGGAATTGTCAACGTCAGAAAGGTTATCTATAGCAAAATTTGACTTATTCTCTTACTATTTTATTCATCATGACACATGTCAAGATCACATGTGACATCTCAACGATGAACCATTACCATCGTATCGGAGTTAAACTTGACACGATCAAAGTTAAGGTCAAGAGGAATGCATAATTGATCCCCGTAAATGACACCGATCATAAGAGTAACAATCATAAAACACACTATAAAAAGATTCCTTATGTGTTCCTCACACACAAAAACATAGTCTAAGAATACATTTAGGATCCTTCGAACTCTTGACTTAAGCATCAAAGGAATATTTATCGAGAATATTTTTATATAATTTAATATAATTAAGATTGCGACGACAAAGTTCACACAACTAAAAAAATGATATGTATAGAAGCAAAGAGGGACAATGGAAAAAAGACAGCATATAAAGCTTGGAAGAATGAAAACTTATATTATATTGTGCAGGCTTATATGCACTTAGTCAATGTAGTGACAAGGGAAAGAATAATCAAATTATGAAAACTACATAGTTACAATAATAAGGTATACAACTAAATCAAAGATCTAAATTTGTGAAATTATTTCTGGATGAGAATCTTTCAATTAACTGTCTTAAATTTATTAAGTGAGTTGTAATAAGGTATACAACTAAATCAAGCATTGAAATTTGTGAAATTATTTCTGGATGAGAATATTTCCTAATAAGAATTAATTATCTTAAATTTATTCAGTGAGAATATTCTTCCTTAATAGAGTTATTTGCTTGAGAAGATTTTTTCTTAAATAATAGGAATTTCAAAATGTCTATAGAGATTGCAATGATGGTGACATATTTGACCAATTTGAGATGATTTATGGATTTATTTTATCTCATTTGTGAATGAAATTTGATCTTCAGTAAATTAAACATGATAAGAAATGAAAGTCTTTTACATTCAATTGAAACAAAGAAAATGTAAGAATTATCGATGTTTGAATAACCCAAACAAATGTAATGTTTGTTATATGGCCAAAGCCATGGATAATAAAGACATCTAAATATTTATAATTTTAAATAATTAGGTTTGATATTAAATAAACATCCAAAAGGTGATTTATTCATAAGAATAGGCATTGAAAGTCAATTAATAATATAAAATAATAGTTCTAAATGTGTAGATAAAAAAAAAAAAAGGAGAGAGATGCTCAGTGATAAGACCTATTTCGATAATATATCGATAAAGATATTCAACGAAAACTATATATTGGGATGTAAGGAGGAGAAATTGAGTGTTGAATTTTAAGACTTTTAAATATAGATTTTAGAGTCTAATATTCTTTTGCAACGTTTGTATATATCGTGTTAATAGATGCTTTAAAAAATTTTACAACCATGATTTTAAATTTTAGAAAAAGAGAGAAAATATGAAACTTATGAGCTATTAGGAATAATCATGAATATTTTGTTGAATCTCGAATTTTGATGATGAAACTAATTAATAATATTTATCTAATATGTATTTGAGTGACATAGGACTAGCTTCGATCAGAAGACGTTGAGCCAAAGCAAACATGTCAGAAGATTGGACATCGAGTTAGATGATTGATCGACGTGTCAAAGCTCTAAGTGTTAGTGTAGTTTGAGAGAGGAGTAAGAGGCGGGTATAAAGGTTTTTTTCTGAACCTGTTAAAAGAATAATCAAGTTGTAAGGGTAGTTGATCTTCACCCATTGAAGGAAGATCGTTAGTAGATACCGATAACCTCGACGGAAGAGGAATCGGTAGAGTGGATATAGGTCACAACAACTGAATCATTATAAAACAGTTTGCATTTGTATTTGAGCAATTTACCTTTACTGTAAACTGAATCTTAATTGTTTATTACTTTCACTATATATACGAATGAGATTTCAAGTTATCTTTCTGAGTTCGGTTTTTATCGTAAAAAAGAATTTTCAAGTTGACATGATTTTATCCGCTGTAGTAATTCACCCTCCTATCTTAATGTCGACTTTCTGAAGTTGAGACACCAAACTATAGTTTATGACTTTTATTTGAATTACAAGAATCAGTAATAGGAAGATTAATTTGTGATAGAATATCATAGAGTATTTTTTAGTGACAGATGCTTAAGTTCCTCGTGCTAATGATTAAGTGAGGTTTTAACTTCAATGAAAGTGTTTTTTTCATCATTCCAAACTCCATATATCATTTATGCTTCACACTGCGAGAAGTGCCTCCATCGTTAAATCCTTCACACAAAAAGAAAATAGAAGAAATTTTGTTTATCTTATAAAATTCAATCATAATAATAACTAAATTTTATTTTATGAAAAGAATACATACATAAAACATCTAAAATTAAAAATAAACTTAAGGGATTTTAATGTTTCAATTTTGTAAGTATAAAAATCTCAATATTTTCACTTTCCTAATTATAGACATCGTAATGTAATTTTTGAAAGTATAAGGATCAAAATACTAAAATAACTAATTACATGAGGAAAGCCAATGGGCACTCCCTGATCTATATATATATATATACCACAGCCCGGAGGAAGACAGGAGAGCACAGATCCAGCTGCAAGTAGCTTTCCTTACTGTGCCTTGGAGATGGCTTCCTTCAATGAAATCCATGACATAGATGTCGTCACAGTTCAAACCTTGGCAGCCGAAGACGACTTCGTCCCCGCCGCAAGACTCCGTCGCCGCAAGTGCTTCCAAGAAATCTTCCCACCCTTTCTTCTCAGAAAGGTTTCCATGCATCCCGCTTTATCTCTACCGAGATCATACTTCAGAGCATGCGTCACTTGGTTGCATGATGACTCTTAGGTAATCGCCGAGGTGATAGCCACCTTTCTACTGGTGTTTGTGACCTGCGGCGCTGGTGCACTGAACAAGAACAACCCCCGCGTCGTCTCGCAGCTGGGTGCGTCCGTCGCCGGCGGACTGATCGTGACGGTGATGATCTACGCCGTGGGCCACATCTCTGGGGCGCATATGAACCCTGCCGTCACCTTGGCCTTCGCTGTCTCCAGGCATTTCCCATGGATACAGGTTAATTAGCATACCCCATCTCTCTTCTATGATGACTATATATATATATACACACACATATCATATCATGCGAACACCAAATCCTCTGTTGGAATGACATCCATCAGACTATACTCTATCCATTTCCTATTTAATTACTATTTTTTAGATTTATAGCGACATCAGACCGTATTAATGGATATTATATTCTGATTTGAATTGATCCTTGAACTGCCATGCGTGTGGTGCAGGTTCCTTTCTACTGGTCGGCGCAGTTCTCGGGCGCCATGATCGCCTCCTTCATCCTCCGCGAGCTGCTCCACCCCATCACCGATCTCGGAACCACCACGCCGTCCAGCACCCCGGCGAGGTCCCTCATCATGGAGGTCGTCGTCACCTTCTCCATGATGTTCGTGACGTCCGCCGTGGCAACCGACACCAAAGCCGTGAGGGCTTCATGAGCTCATGAGCTCTTCTATCTTGAAGGCTTCTCGTTGGATGACATACAGGTAGGAGAGCTCGCCGGGTGAGCGGTTGGCTCAGCCGTCTGCATCACCTCCATCCTCGCTGGGTAATCCACAACCAAAACCCACGCGTACAAAATCTAACTTCTTCGATCAGTAAAACCCAATGCAAGAGCCGATCTCCGGAGGATCGATGAACCCGGCAAGAACACTGGGACCGGCGGTGGCGAGCAGGAAGTACGATGCGCTGTGGGTGTACTTCGTCGGCCCGGTGCTGGGCACGCTGTCGGGGACGATGTCCTACAGGTTCATACGGATGACGGAGAAACAGCCGCCGCAGTCGCTGCCGTCCATGGGGAGTAGCACCGCCCCGAAGTCGCCGTCGACCTCGTTGAAGCTGCGCCGCCTGCAGAGCCAAGAAATGGCTAGTCCTGCCCACGTCAATCCGTAGCTACGTTCGTTCACGATGCGATCTGAGATCATTAGTCTTTTCTTGATTGCTTATCAACACAACATATGCTTAATAAGCATTTGTTTGATGGGTTTATTTATCTCCAAAATAATTTCTTAATTGCTAATTAATGAACACATGATGACAGGACTCACAAGTTATGTAAATACGAAAGCATCTCATTAATTCTCTAACCACTCAATCCATTATTAAATGATTTCAAGTTCTATCTTAATTTGAATGATTCAAAACTGGATTAATAAGAGAATTAGGTGAGGCCTACCTAATCCTCCAACAACCAAAGACAGCTTCATCCCAAGATTTAAATCTAGCTTACGTGGATTTATTACCAAAAAGAAGAAGAAGAAGAAGCAAATATTATTAATTAAGAGCTAATAAGAGTTGGGGTTTCACTTTTTCCGCTTCTAATTAAAGACAATAAATCAAACATTGCATAAATATTAATTAAAATAGAGATAAAAATAATTTGTTTTTATGTCATCATATATATATATATATATAAAAGGAGAATTAATTGAATTATCAAATAATAAAAAGAACAGTGTAATGCATATTAGACTCGAAGACAACAATGGCGGCCATTAAAGTCGAGTAGGAACGTCGGACCAACGGAGCTGAAGCACTGTGACATAGGAGAATACGTTGTTGTCTGTGCAGTTGTTGCGCTTCCCTGTCGCAGCTGCGCGGTGTTGCTGTTGCGGTGCTCGTTGTCTTGCGGCCGGTACGGCGATTCCCCTATTTCTTTCTCGTAACCGTGTGAGCTGCGGTTTTCTGTAACCGAGCCTAATTTTTGCTGTTTCTGATTGAATTAGGAATGTTTCTTGATTTCGATTGGGTTTTAAAGATCGTTTTTTTTTTTTTGAGTTGAGGGGATGATTCCTTTATAGGGTTTATTATTTCCTTTCTTTTCCATTCGGCCCTCGTAAAAGTTCTAGTCGTGTCTCTCTTCCTTTTTCTCAGGCTAGAATCTTCCGATTCGATTTTATCTTTGCTAGGACGGGGGTGCTGAGTTGATCGGTAACTTAAAGTTTCGATCTTGAGGGCCAGCAAGGAATTTTACTTGGCAAGCGATCAAAAGGGGAGGGGAGAGAAATTTTGCCTCATTTTCCTGCAAATATTGTTGCTGTAGATTTGGCTACACAATGGGAGAACATCTGGTCTTGTATGTTGATGAAGTCATCACGCCAAAGACAGGAGCGCAGAGAATAGAGGGTGCAAATTCCTCCGGATTGGAAGCAACACAGGGTCTGGCCTGCTCTGCTCTCTGCACCTCTGCGGTCGATTCCATCATTGAGATGGACGGCAAGGAAGAAAGCAGTGTTGGGGAGGAAGAAGAGCCACTCCTTCAGATCGTGGAATGCCGTATTTGCCAAGAGGAGGATCATATAAAAAACTTGGAAACCCCTTGCGCTTGTAGCGGTAGCATAAAGGTCTGACGTTTTTGCTTTTTTCTGATTAATTGTAGATATTTTTATTTATAGCCATACAAGGCCAATACATTTAGCATTTAAAAATATCTGCTATTAGATCAATTAGCAAATTATTTGCGTCGAATGAAATGGAAGTTTTATGTAATTGAAATTCATGCTAATCTTCTAAAGGTACAACAACTAGGGTTCAGAATTCTCAATGCTTTTCTTGTATGATCCCAAAACAGGTGTATAATTGTGGGACATTAGGTAAACTCGATGCAATTTTTCTTTTTCAAACGCTTATCTCTTCTGCAATATCATGTGTCTTATGATATGTAAGTTAGATGTTTGCTAACCTTGGTAAGTGAGTGCTGAAGCCTTCATGCTAGATTTTTAACTTTGATTAGCAAAAAAGTCTGATTTTTCACTTTTTTTCTGATTAATTTTAGATTATTTCTATTCATAGCAAACAACACCAATAAATTGAGTCTTCTAAAATATCTGCTATTAGATCAATTAGCAATTTTTTGCTCATCGAATGAAATGCAAGTTATGTGTGGTCAATGTTCATACCAATTTTTTGAAGGTCCAACAAGGCAACAACTATGTTTCAGAATTTTAAACGCTTGTATAATCCCAAAACTGGTATAATTGTGGCACATTAGCTTGACTTCGAAGCATTTTTTCTTTTTCAAATGCTTCCTCCAGTTTCTTGTAAAAGTTGACATTCTGGTTATCATTTTTCTCTTCTTCTGTTCTGTCATATGAATCATGATATTCTTACTTGGAGTCCTTGAATGTACAGTATGCTCATAGGGAATGTGTGCAACGCTGGTGCAATGAGAAAGGCGATATAACCTGTGAAATTTGCAATGAGGTGAGTCATTAATTTGATCATTTTATCAACTTCATCTATGTCTTATGCACGTAGCACAGCTTAAAAGGTCATGTGCATCTCTTTTCTTTCCTGTTTTCTTCAGCACTTTAAATTGCCTTGAATTGTTAGAAACTTTGAAGTGGTCTTCATTTGTTTTGTGTACTTCTATATGTTAGAATGTTGATTCTTGATCCTCTTTCTTGCTGCAGAGGAAGTATTTAATGCGCTTTCTGCTCATCTAGTTTAATAAGATAACTTTCCGTTCATTCTGTAGGAGTCACTGGTTCTGGGTGATACTATATCTTGTATTGCTTCTGTTAGATACTGGTCGGAACTTTAACTAAAATGATATGCTATTATATATGTGTCGAGACTGGCAGTGCATGTTCCTGAAAGTGATCTTTCTTGTGATTCACAGCAATACAGACCAGGATACACTGTAGTGCCACGTGTCCCCCCTGTTGAAAGTGTTATTAATATCAGGTAAGTTTTATTTCTATGTGTAAACCTAAATGCTGGTTCTCTACAGTCCTAACATCTTAAGGGCACTCATATGTGATTTTCACTTTCTTACCACAGCACGACACAAATTTACTAAAAATAGTCATCATTGAAATTCTTAATTCTGATGAGTTTTCACCTGAAATGCAGTGGAGGATGGACCATCAGAGGCTCCCATTTGGATTTGCATGACCCTCGGGTTATTGCAATGGCAACAGCACGACACGGCTTCCTTGAAGCTGAATATGATGAGCAAGCTGCTACAAATGTCAGCAGTGTTGCTTGTAGTTTTGTGGTTCTGCTGGTAAAACCTAATCATGCCATTGGTTAAAGGTTTCCCTGTTTTATTAAATAATACATATTTGCAATGTGATGTTTTTATTTAAAATGGTTATTGAGTTTGCAAAATCTTAACCCAGTGATGCTTTTGTAGTCAAAATGGTTATCGAAGTCATGAAGTTCTATCTCATAATTCCACTAATCTGTACTTGTTTTCAATATGTTGAATTTTCACTTTCCTAAAGAACCATTCATCTGCAACTATGAGTAATTAGTTTCTTTCAAATTTCACATTGCTTCTCATAAAAACTGAAATTGATCTAAATTGTTGGCTAAATTAATCTACTCATAAGACTTATCTAGAGAACGAGATGGTACATTTTTACTTGTTATAAGCTACAAGAAGCATTCTGTTTATCTGTCCTTGACAACGTCGACATTCTATCTAAAGCTAGTTAATAAATAATTTCCTTTTGGTAACTGGAAATGTGTAACATCTTCATGTAAAGGTCTTTTTGGTCTTGTACCTTTTCTAGATCTAGCATTTATATGACATAAAAATTAATTTTATTGTGTTTCCCTTGCAAAATGATTATCAGCCGATTTTTGGTGCAAAGTTATTCTGATTCTACAACTTGGATTTGAATACTAATGGCGGTTCTCCCCTTGTTTTATTGCAGCTAATGGCTCTCTTATTGTTAAGGCAAGCATTGAGCATTACCGATGCTATTGAAGAAGATGATGATGATGATGCTTCCACATATTTTTCAGTAAGCAGAAGTTTCAACTTCTTCCTTTCAGTTTACGATCTCTATCTAGCTTAATCATGTGACATTTGACTGATAATTGGCAGCTTTTTCTTCTGCGGGCTGTTTCATTTCTATTCCCGTGTTACATCATGGCCTGGACCATTAGTGTTCTGCAGCGCCGACGGGAAAGACAGGTTAGCCCCCCCTCTCAAGTACAAATGTAGGAGCATGCTTTGTGGCATCAGTAGATTAGAGTAATTAGTTCCGGGCTCACTCACATGTAACGGATCAAACCTAAGTCCACGGGCTGCATAGATTTAGCAGAAAGTAAACAGTATGCTGTCTGTTGATGATCATAAAATATAAAATATACGGATCGAGACCAATCTAAAACTTGGACATGTTCAAAATAGTTACTGTGTGTACATGGAGAACTGGTCAGTGAACAGAATCATGACAAACTTACAAAAACAAGTGACTGATACATATGTTAGCATTGGTTGGGTGTTGCATTTGAAAAAATTGTCTGACTTGGGTAAAGTCAAGTAAAGGATGAACCCGGGGCACAAAGCCCGTATCAGTGAGGAGCCGGAGGAGCAGGTTGCAAAGGAACAACCTATTACACATAAAAGTCATCCTTACATGTGTAATTATGCAAAAATGTTGTAACGGAAAAATGCATTTTCCTTTGTTTCCCTTCCTAACATTAGTGACAGCAGATATCTTACTGAGTTTCATCAACACTGTTATAATTTTATTCTGAATGGATACTCTTATTATGAACACACAGGAAGCAGCTGCATTATTATCAGCAACTGAAGTTGCATCCATGCTGCAGCAGTCTGGCCAAGGAAGGCATTTGCAGTTTGCCACGGCACCAGAGTCACCTTCAACTCTGGAACAAGAGACACGTCGATAGCACTGCTCGAAGGCAGCTTCCCCTCTCAAAGTTCCACTTGATGAAGACCAAGAATTGCCCTACGCATTATTGGTAGGGTGAGAGGCTGTGTAGTAGGTTGCAGTGGCAGCAATTGCCACCTCCAACGGAGAGGAGTGACTTTTTGATTCTTTGCTTTCCTTTTCTTTGTTATCTTTCACGTGTAAAGATTGAAACTTTTGTCTTCTCAGTGCAGAGATTTCTTCTGCTTGTATATATACCCAAAATTTGGAAAGCCTTTTTTTATTTTTCCTCAATGAATTTAATAAGAAATAAGCACCTAAGAAGTAATTTCGTCCTTTTGTATAATCACAACGATACAAGAAAAATATCGAATCATATTCTAATATTTCTTTATATAAATTATATGATTCGATCTACCCCATCCATCCGTTGGGACGCTACGAGGAGGAGCAGATATCTTATGCACACGTGCCCTCTGATTCCGTACCACCACGTAGGACCTCAAGCAGAAGTATAACGACGGATCACGCAAGGGTGGGACCCATCTTTCGTGGAAATAACCTATGCGGATATTTCTTTGGGGTTAATCTTCATAACATGATTGTTATAACGTATACGATCAGATTATCTCGCAAAGCTGTGACGTAAACAGTCATCAGTTTACATAATGATACAACAGTGTTTGGACCAGTAACATACGGAAGCACCGAACTCGATCACACTTAACATGGACGGCAATGGAGAACCAAAGCGAAGGAGGTTCTTGCATCACCAAGAACACCAACTCTTGTGCACACAGCATTCAAACACAGAAGACGCACGCACACCGCAATACACGAGATAGATTACTAGCGTTCCGTTGTACTAAAAAAATATTCATTAAGCTTTTGATTGACTGAGCATGAAGAGCTCTGTCAACGCCCATGCATACATGCATACATGACAGGTTCCATACATATCTGTAGCCACCTGCTTGTGTGGCTGCCATACACTCCATGAAAAGCGGCATTGGGCTCTCCTTAATTTGCAACGCAAGGATGATGGATGTGTACATAACGATACAGGAAGACTGGGTTCTCTCTCTTCTCTTTAGTCAATCTTGATTTCTCATGCGGTACAGTTCTTGAGAGCTAATCGGAGCAGGCGAATGAAGCCTTGTACATCGTAGTAACTGAACTCGATGGCTTCCGTCATGGAACGGAACCCCTCGGCGCTTGATGAGTTGTCTTTGGCGGCCGACTCCAAGGCACGATGACATTTGGAGGTTGCATCCATCGCAGCTTCCGCATGCTCTGCCTGCAAATTAAACATCGAATCCAAAATGTTACATGGATCAAAGCTACGAGAATAATAAAGTCTTTGCAGAACGGTGGTGG